GCCGCGTCCCTCCCTGCCTCCCCCCCCCACCCCCCCCGCAGACGCCCCCTGAACGTGCAGGGCTCCTGTGGCCCTCCTTCTGTGGGCCCCCCCTTCCCCGGGCTGCACCGTGAGCGCGGCAGCGCCCGGGGCCGAGTCTCCTGCCCGCGTCCCTCCTGCCCTGTGGCCGAGCCGGGGCCAGGCGCTCGGACGGGCCTGCGATCCGTGAGGCCGGGAGCCGGGCGGGGCCCCAGGGGACCGCGTCCTCCAACCACAAGGGCCAGGGCTCCTGAGTCCCCGCCCGGGGCCGGGTTCTGTCACTGTGCTTCTCCCTCGCTCTCACACAGCCAGAGTTTCTTAAAGGTTTATTTATTTACTTAATTTATTTTCAGGGAGTGGGGAGGAGAGGGAGAAAGACAAGGAGAGACGTCAGTGTGAGAGAGGAACGTCAGTGGCTGCCTCTCACACACGTCCAGACCTGACCGGGGACCTAGGCCGCAGCCCAGCCCGGTGCCCTGACCAGGGATCCAACCGGCGACCTTTCGTCGGTGGGACGGCGCCCAGCCCTCTGAGCCACCCCAGGAGGCAGGAGGGCCGCGGCCAGAAAGAACCTGCGAGGGTTCGTGTGCACCCTTCTGACCGAGAACTAAGGTGTCAGGTGGCCCTCCGTCCGAGTCCGTCAGTTCACGGTGCGGGGGACGCGTCTGGGCACGGGTCACCTGAGGGGCGCCGCGGGCCGGCCGTCCGCCGGGCCAGCAGGGGCTCGGCGCACGGGTGCCCGTGCCCACGAGGCAAGGACCCGGAGAAAACGCCGCTCATGGGACGAGTCCTGGCCTTGCTTTGAAGTCGACCGGTTCTCCCTGTTCAGAAAGGAAGTCCCCGGTTCTCCATGGTCCCCGCTCCCCCGTTTTACCTGCTGGAAGGGTCTGCGCCCCACCTTGGCCCGTGGCGGGGGTCTGCCCCGGGCTCTCTGCGGGAACTTCAAGTGGTCGCTCACAGTGGCCAGAGTCGCGCCCTCAACTACCTCCCGGCGTCCCCTCTGCCCGGGAGCAAGTCCCGCCAGGGCCGGGCCTGGTGGCGGGCACCGCGGCCCCACACAGACGCCGGATGCGGCGCCCGCCGTCCCCTGGAGGCTGGCCTGAGTCTCCGCTGTGCGGCCTGGCCTCGTCACCTAACAAGCACCCTCGTCGGCCTGTCCCAACGCCATGGTGGCCACGCCCACCCGGAGGGCTGCCGTCGGGTCCAGCGGGGTCACTCCACGGAGCGCCACGCTGGGGCACGGTATGTGCAGAGGTCAGGGGCTGCCCCCCACCTGCAGGGACGAGCCTGGGGGCGCAGAGGCCGCCCCCACCCTGGCACCCGCGCCCTCGGGCGAGCTCCTGCGCCGGCCGCCCGGGGTGGGGGAGCGCTGGGCCTCGGGAAGCAGGCGTCTCCCTGAAAGTGCCGCAGGGTGCTGGAGCGCAGTGGGAAAAGGCGGGCCCGGAAGGCAGGAAGCTGGCACCTGGACCGCGTGTCCGGGGGACAGGAAAGCGCCAAGGCTCCGTTTCCCCCGCAGAGCGCGGCGGCGGCCGGGCAGCCGTGGAAACAGCAAGGGGCTGGCCCGGCCGTGATCCCCAATGGTGACGCCGGGCAGCCCTGGCTTTGCCATCCAGACCGAAGAACATCGGGCCGTAGTGGGACCTCACGCTACTTGCTGGGCTGGCTCCTCAGGGCAAAGACCCGAAAAGCCAGCCCGGCGCGGCCTCCACCAGCTCAGCTCGCTGCCAGCCCTACACTCGGAGGCGGAGCCAGGCCGTGGGCCCCTCGGGGTGTAGGGTCGTCCTCGTGTGCGTGGGGACTGCAGCCGGGCTTCCCCGAGATGGGAGGGGACTCGGGAGCCCGACGCCTGTGCGTCTCTGCGCCCCGTCTCCCCGTCTGCCAGCCCCGGAGCTCAGGCCCCGCAAGGAGGATCCCTGGAAGCTAGGGGCCCAGGCTCCCAGCAGGGCTGCACAGCCAGTCTCGTTTCCTCGTCCTGCCGGCAGGCCTGTGTGCCCCCTGTGGCCAGGGACTTCCAGGGCCCCGCAGGGCAGGGCAGGGCAGGGCAGGAAGGCCGGAGCCCCCTGGGAGGAAGGAGCCCTTGGCAGGATTGTTTCAGGCATGTCCCCTCAAGCAAAGGAAACAAATGGGGAAAAAAAATAAACGAATGAGACTACAGCAAACTAAAAAGGTTTTGTACAGAAAAGGAAATTAAATCCCCCCCAAAATGGGCAATGGGCATGTGAAGAGATACTCAACATCACTTATTGTCAGGAGAATGCAAGACAAACAGCAAGGAGACGTCACCCCCCCCCCCGTCAGAACGGCCGTCATCAATAAATCCACAAGCAACACGTGCTGGTGAGGACGCGGGGGAAAGGGACCCTCGTGCACTGTGGGTGGGAATGCAGGCTGGGGCAGCCCCTGTGGGAAACAGTGTGGAATTTTCTCAGAAGAGTGAAGATGGATCTGCCTTTTGGTCCAGTAGTTCCACTTCTGGGATTGTACCCGAAGAACGCGAACACGCTGACCTGCAGACACCTGCAGCCTCGGGTTCGCTGCAGCGCCACGTGCAGCAGCCAGGTGATGGGCGCACCCCAGGTCTCCACGGCAGACGGCCAGACCGACGAGCAGCGGCACACACCTCCGGTGGAATATTGCTTGGCCGTGAAAAAGAGTGGAAGCGATAGAGAAGAGCAACACACAGCCGGCCAGTGGGTGCTGGCTGAGCGGCAGGCACTGTGCCCACGGGCCCCATGGCACAGGATGGGCACCCAGGCACAGCGGGGGAGGGGCCTGCGGCGGGCACAGAGCGGTGAGCGAGAGAGCTCAGCACAGCCCCACGGGCTGCAAAGCGCGTGGCTGGCTACACATTGCATCTGGACGAGGAATTATTCAAGACTTAGACAAACTTAAAAAATCTGTTTCGGCCAAGATGGAGGCATAGGTAGACACACTGTGCCTCCTTGCACAACCAAAAGAAGGACAACAAATTTAAAAACCAAAAACAACCAGAACTGCCAGAAAACCAAACTGTACGGAAGCCCAACAACCAAGGAGTTAAAGAAGAAACACTCACCCAGATGGGCGGGAGGGGCAGAGACGGGCCGCTGGGCAGAGAGGACTGTGGCAAGGCGGCAGCTGGCGGAGCGGGCAGCCCCACATTCGTGTGCGGATAAACCGGGAGGAACAACTGGGGAGCGAGGCAGACCACACAACCCAGGGCCCCAGCTCGGGGAACTGAAGCCTCAAGACCTTTGACTGAAAAAACCTGCGGGGGTTGCAGCGGCGGGAGAAACTCCAGCCTCACAGGAGAGTTCATTGGAGAGACCCACAGGGTCCTAGAACGTACACAAACCCACCCACCCAGAACCAGCACCAGAAGGGCCCAGTTTGCTGGTGGGGAGCAGGGGAAGTGACTGAGAGCCCACGGAGAGCCCAGCAAGCAGCACTGTTCCCTCTCGGACCCCTCCCCCACACCCAGCGTCACAACACACCGCCGTGGGTTGTCCCGCCCTAAGGCTCCGCCCCTTACTACGTAACAGGCACGACGAGACAAAGCAATATGGCCCAAATGAGAGAACAGGTCAAAGCCCCAGAAAAAAATGCAACTAAGTGACAAAGAGATAGCCAGCCTATCAGATGCACAGTTCAGAACACGGGTCATCATCAGGATGCTCACAGAATTGGTTGAGTAAGGTCGCAAAACAGAAAAAAGTGAAGGCTATGAAAAGTGAACTAAAGGGAAACAAAAGTGACGAGAAGGAAACCAGGACTCAGATCAACAGTTTGGACCAGAAGGAAGAAATAAGCATTCAACCAGAACAAAACAAAGAAACATGAATTTTAAAAAATGAGAAGGCTTAGGAACCTCCAGGACATCTTTAAACATTCCAACATCCAAATCATAGGGGTGCCAGAAGGAGAAGAGGAAGAAATGGAAAACTTGAAAACATAATGAAGGAGAACTTCCCTAATCTGGCAAAGGAAATAGACTTCCGGGAAGTCCAGGAAGCTCAGAGAGTCCCAAAGAAGTTGAACCCAAGGAAGCACACACCAAGGCACATCATAATTAAGTTACCCAAGATTAAAGAGAAAGTGAGAATCTTAAATGCAGCAAGAGAAAAGGAGAGAGTTACCTACAAAGGAGTGCCCATAAGACTTATCAACTGATTTCTGAAAAGAAACTTTATAAGCAAGAAGGGGCTGTACAGAAGTATTTGAGTGTCTCAGGTTCGATTCCCAGTCAGGCCATGGCCCCCAGCAACCGCACATTGTTTCTCTCTCTCTCTCTCTCCCTCCCTTCCCTCTCTAAAAATAGATAAATAAAATCTTTTTTTTTTAAAGAAGTATTTGAAGTCATGAAAGGCAAGGACCTACATCCGAGATTACTCTGTCCAGCAGAGCTTTCATTCAGAATGGAAGGGCAGATCAGGTGCTTCCCAGACAAGGTCAAGTTCAAGGAGTTCACCATCACCAAGCCCTTATTATATGAAATGTTCAAGGGACTTCTCTAAGAAAAAGAAGATAAAAAATATGAACAGTAAAATGACAACAAACTTAGAACTATTAACAATCTAACCTAAAAAACAAAACAAAAACCAACTAAGCAAACGACTAGAACAGGGACAGAATCACAGAAATGGAGACCACATGGAGGGCCATCAGTGGGGAGGGGAGAATGGGGAGAAGGCACAGGGAATAAGGAGCATGAGTGGTAGCCAGAAAGTAGACAGGGGGAGGGCAAGAATAGTGTGGGAAATGGAGAAGCCGAAGAACTTACACATGAACTAAAGGCGGGGAGTGTGGGTGGGTGGGAGGGGTGTGCAGGGCGGGGGGGGGGCGGGTGGAGGGGAGAAATGGGACAGCTGTAGTAGCATAGCCAACACAACACATAATTTTTCAAACGTAAAATACCCCTCCTAACGCGTGACGGTGTGTGGTGCGGGGTGCCTCGCTGAGCCCAGGGCGCCGAGCTCTGACCCCGCCCCCCGCCCCCCCCCCAGGTGCTGTGCAACGGGCCGGGCACCTGCGTGCCGGTGTGCGCGGCGGCGCTGCTGCTGGGGCTGCTGGGCCTGAAGAAGGTGCTCCTGGTCTACGTGGAGAGCGTCTGCCGCGTGGAGCGCCTGTCCCTGTCCGGCGCCCTCCTGCGCCCCTTCTGCGACTACTTCCTGGTGCAGTGGCCCACGCTGAAGGAGAAGCACCCCGGCTCCGTGTTCCTGGGGCGGCTCGTCTGACGGGCGGCGGCCTGCCCCCTCCGACCCCGCGGCCCCGCTGTCGGCCACAGGACGCGTGTGTCGCGAAGCCGTCTGAGCGCCCGGGGGACTGTCGGTCGTCGGGAGAGGAGTGTGGCACCCAGGGAGGCGCCGGGTGCTCCTGTGGGACGCACGTCAGCCCCAGCCTGTGTGCGTGGCTCTGGGGACTGAGCACCAGCCTGCGAACCACAGGGTCCCCGGTTCGATTCCCAGTCAGGGCACGTGCCTGGGCTGCGGGCCGGGTCCTCGGTGGGGGCGCATGAGAAGCAACCGCGCATGGGCGTTTCTCTCCCTCCCTGCCTCCCTCCCCTCCCCCTCTCTAAACAAATAAAATCTTTAAAAAGAGACAAACATTAATAAACCATTCAGTACTCACGCCTCTGTGCGCCAGACTTCTCGTCTACATCGAAGAATCGCTCAGAAGTTACCTGCTGACTAGTTTAGTCATATTTTCTCCTAGAACTAAATGCAGACTCCGTATGATTAGCATTCTTTTTAACCGGTACTCTGCGTTGTGAAAGAAAGGTGTTTGTCTTTGTTCGACCCAGTGGGCTGCGTTTCCTGTGTGGCCCCCGCAACCCACCCCCCCCCAGCAGAGAGGAAGTGGCCGGGAAGTGCCTCCCTGGCTGCGCCCTCCCAGCCCCGGGGCCACGGACAGAAACCAGCCTCTCCCCTGGCCCTTCGGCCTGGCACTGTCGGCTCCTGGCCTCCATCCCCAGGACCTTTGGGAAGCTCTTGTGTAATGGCTGAAATGAATTGAAAGGTGACCGTTGCCGTAGCAGTAAACACGTGGCTCTGTGTATCCGGAATCCAAACTCTCAGAACCGTTTCCGAGGGTGTGTTAGGCAGTGTGCAGGGCCAGGCCCGCCAGTCTCGGCCGTCCCGGGACGCCCGGGCTCGGGAGGGTGTGCGCCGCCCACACTCTGCGGGTGCTGGCCGGACGCCAGGGGCCCGCCTGGGCACTTCCCACACGCTCGCTCAGTCAGCCCCCGCCAGCACGCGGCCAGGCGGCGACGCGCTCCGTGCAGCAGGGCCCGCTCGAGCGCCTGCCCTCCTCCTGACGCCCGTCCGCACCTGCGCGGGTTGCACCTGGCGTGGGTCGCACCTGGCGTGGGTCGCACCTGGCGCGGGTCGCACCTGCTGCGGGACCTGGCCAGGCAGCCCCTGCCCCCTCCAACCCCTGTCCCTTCCACGGAGCCACCCAACGAGAAGACCCCTGGCCGTAGTCGAGGGGTTTATCTCCTCCTCTCAGATCTTTGTCACAAGTGGGACGCCAGCCTCACAAGGAAACGCGAAGACCTCGCGGGAGCGGCTGCCTTTCGGCGAGAAGAGCCGCGCCTGCCCCCACGGCGTGAGGCGAAGGTGCCGGGGCGGCCTCCCCGATCCGGCCGAGAGCCGCGGGCAGGAGGAGGAGACGCAGGGGCCGCCCTGGAGCCTCGACGCGGCGCCCCTGAGCCCTAGCTCCGGCCATCCCCATGGGCCACGGGCTGGACCCCGAAGCAGACATGGCCCGTGACACTCCCCGGAGGGAAGGTGACGGATGCTCCAGGGACAGTGGCGCCCCCTGCTCCGTACTTTCTCCCGAGGGGGCGCTGGGGCAGAGGCAGGCGGTGAACTTGGGCTCTGGCCCATTCAGGTGCTGCTGTCCGCCCGGGGCTGCGCCCCAGCCCCGCGGGCGGTCCTGCCGCAGAGGCCCCGTGGTGGCCGGAGCCCACGGCGCTCGGGCCACGGGAGTGGCAGAAAAGACACCATGAGTTTCCCCAGCAGCCACGTCCCTGGTGCTGCGCGTGCGGGCCCTCCGCTGGGACCGCGTTTAGCCGGGACGTGGGGGAAAGCCTCGCGGGCTCTGCCGCGGCGTGTGGCGGCACCGGGGGGCTCGGGCCGCGGGGCCGCACTCGGGGCCCGGCCCACGCGCTGCCGAGCGTGGCTGCCACTGCTCCCCGAGCCCTCGGCGCGAGCCCGGCAAAGCAGAGGCGCGAGGACGGCCGTGCCCGGTCCCCGGCGCGAGCCGAAGACGGCAGAAGCCAGCGTGCCCCTCCCGGCGTGACTCCCTCAGGGACGCAGCTCTTTCCTGGAAGAGACCGCTCACTCGAGAACATTAATCACCCGGGGAGGCCTCGGGCGGGAGGCAGGGTGCTCACACATCCTGCCCACACCCCTTCCCTGAAGATTCTTATCCGCCGCGCGGAGCTTCTCCAGGGCGGGCAGCCGGCCAGCCGGGTGCTCGCTGCCCCCGACAGCGCGCCCGGGAGCCGTCCCAGGGAGCCGCTGCCGCCGGGACCGGCGGGGGCTGTGACCCGTGTCCACGGGAGAGAGGGTGGTGGGACTGCAGACTGAACCGAGGATGTCCCCCCCAGATGGGGCTGAGCCCGGCTTCCCGTCAGAAGCGGCTGGGACACGCCACCGGGCCTGCCACGGCGGGGTGACCCCGGGAACCCACCCCCTTCCAGGGTCGGTTCTTCGGCTGAGTGACCGCTTTCTCCCATCTGGGAGGTCCCAGCAGAGAGCCTGAAGGCAGTGTGTTAGGCGACCGCCACCCCCAGCGGGACGCCGTGGCTGGGGTGAGGGGTGGCCCTCCTGGCCCGCGCCCCGTCCAGCCCCTGGGCCGTGGCCTGAGCTCGCTCTTCAGGACACGGCCCTGTCTCATCAGCACGGGGGCCGCGGGGCTGCGGCACAGAGAGACTTCCCAGCTGGAAGGTGGCGGGGCTGGGATTTGAACCCAGGCGCGACCGGGGCCCTGAGACGGAGGGTGGGTGCTGGGGCCACCCGGGTGGGAGACCGGGGCAGGCCTCCAGGCCGGGGACGTTCAGCTGAGAGCTGCAGGCTGTCGCCCTAAACATTTCCCTCCTCCGCCCAGTTCCCCTTCCAAGGCCCCTTCCAGCTCCCCCAAACTCCCTCTGGCCCCAGCCGCTTCTTCTGGAAGCGCCCGCGTGGCCGGGCCCCGAGACCCAGGCCGGCGCTGACTCGCCTGCTCGGTTCCCTCTGGACGCCGTTCCCGTGGAAACACCAGGGGAGGGAGAAACGGCCGCTGCCTCTCCCTCCGCCGCCGCCTCCCTCCTCCCACCCTCGGTGCCCCCGCCTCAGCTCCGCACGCAGCGCGGGCACTGGCCGGGCGTGACTTCTTACGCCTGCCGCCGACCGGTCCCGTGTCGTCGACACCCGTGGTTCTCCAGGGTGGCGGTCTCGGGGCCTCGCTACCCTCCGGAAGGCTGTGCGAGACCCCCACAGACCTCTGTGTGCGTGGGCTCTATTCGCCCCCGTTTGCCGCTGAAGGAATTAAACGTTCCAAACAGAACCCACAGAGCCACATCCATTCACCCTCGGGGCACCGATGTCACCGCCTGTCACGGGGCATCGGGAAAACTACACAGTCTCCAGGCGGAGTGGGATGAGGGCAGATAACGTCTTCGTGCTCTTCTGAAAACCGTTTTGATTTCACGGACCCCCGAGAAGATCCAGCCCCCTCGGGGGTCCCTGGGCCGCCCGCACCCATACACGTTTGTGGGCGAAGAAAGGCAGATCGAGACACGGACCCCCGCAGCCAGGAGGCTGCCCCAGCGGCGTGTGTCTCCCTGGGGCACCGTCTCTGCCTACGGCCGGAGCCCCCCGAGGACCGAGGGTGCTGGAGACAGAGCTAAGCTAAGTCCTGGCGCAGGGAGCCCAGTGGGCGCTGGGGGTGGGGAGGCCCCTCTGCAGGAAACAGGAGTCCCCACACCCTCACCAGCGACCCTCGTCACAGGGCCTCACCTGCAGAGAGCCAGGACGGTGGGACTGGGCCCACCGCCCGCCCTGCTGGCGCCTGTGTGCTCTCCGGCACGGGGACCCCTTCCAATGGGCCCTGGCAGCCGGAGGGGAGGGACGGCCTGACTTGGGCTCCTGAAATGCTTGCCTTCCACACACTGGCCTTGGGGGCACCCCTGAGGACCCAGCCCCCAGGCTGTGAGGGCTGGGGCACCGGCAGGGTCCCTGTGTCTGAGCCGACTTCAGTCACCGAGACCCAGGTGCTGGACGCGGGACAGGAGAGGTCTCCGACGGCCCCAGCCCCGTCGTGGGGCCCCTGCCAGCCCTTCTGGTCTCCCCAGCAGACGCTCAGACGCCGGGGAGAGGGGGGAGCCCCCCTCTGTGCCCGTGAATGCAGACCCCGGGCCCACCAGCAGAATTAATGGCTGCTTTTTCCCACCAGCACGGTCCGGGGGGGGGGGTTGGCTACAAAGCAGCAGGCCGTCAGAACAAGAACCTTCCAGAAGGAGCCAGCCCTCCCCGGCGTGGTTACTTTGGCCTGACGTTAGGAGAGGAGCCGGCCCTTCGCCCCCGAGGCTGAGGGAGGAAGAGGAAGGCCGCTGGGCAGGCCGGCAACGGCCCCTTGTCCCCGGCCCCCGGGCGGCAGGGACGCGGACACCGGTGGGTTTAGCCGCAGGCACGTGAGCAAGCAAACCGCTGGACTCGGCTCCACATCGCTTTTCCTTCCCTGGGTGACGGGGGGTTTTTCCACCCCAGCAAACCGCAGCGCTTAAACAGAAGCCGTGTGTCCCCTGCATGAGGGTCGGCGGCGAGAACTCGGGGTGGGGAGGGGAGGGGCGGTGAGAATGCGGGGGAGGGGGGGCCGCCGAGCGCGGAGCCTCAGAGCACAGCCAGGGCGCCCCGCTGGGGCGGGGACAGGGCTTCTGGCAAAGAACCGCGCAACCCCTTCTCTGTCCGACTTGGAGTCCTTCCCCCCCGCCCCCCGCCCCCGCTCACGGTCTACTCAGGAGAACGATCTGAAATTCAATGGCCAGAAAGACAACCTCTGAAAGTTTTCAGTTGACTGAAGTACAAGAGTCTTTCACCGATGCCGAGCAGGGCCCCTCCCCCCCAGCCCCGGGTGCCCCCTGTGCCAGAGCCCACAAGACACAAACGGAGACCGTCCCGGAATCCAAGCCCCCAGCGGGAGGGGTGGTCGGGGGGTCTGGGAGGACAGTCCTCCCCTCTCTCGAAAGTAAAAAGGGAAAAGAAGTTCCATTCTTCAAAGAAAAGGGAAGGAAAACAGGACTTTTATGGGAATACCATACACGGAGTTGGCAGGGATTCAGCAGGAATAGAAAGAATCTAAAATGTCCCCTTGTTCAGCTCCAGCCTCTGGCAGCCAAGTTCAAGGAGGCTCCGCTTTCAGGCAGATCTGCCGAGTCCTCGGGGCCGTGAGCGTGCCGGGCCGCGAGCCGCCCGCCCCGTCCCTGACGCCCGGATCGAAAACCTGAATCTGAACAGACAGATGCGCCCAGAGCTGAGCGTCCGTCACGACCGCGCAGAACACGACACATCGCCGGCCGCCGGAGTGGGGACAGGCCAAGCCGCGGCTCCAGGCGCTTCGCCAGGGCGGGGCAGGGGCCGTGGGCAGG